CTGCTGCCTCACAGCACCAGGGACCTGGGTTCGATTCTGTGTGGAGTTTGCACATTCTCCCCATGTCTGCGTGGGTTTCCACCGGGTGCTCCAGTTTCCTCCCACAGTCCAAAGTTGTGCAGGCTAGGTGGATTGGCCATGCTAAATTGCCTGTAGTGTTCAGGGATGTGTAGATTAGGTGGGTTATAGGGGGATGGGTCTGGGTGGGATGCTCTCAGGGCCGGTGTGGACTTGTTGGGCCGAAGGGCCTGTTTCCACATGGTAGGGATTGTATAATTAGAGCTTCTTTTGGTTTGGCCCGTAGGTGACATCAGGTCAGCTTGAACATCCATTGAACACAAGAAACTAGTTTATGATGTCAAGGATATGGCACTACCTTACTGCAACTGAAATCTCAAATGCAATCTATTTTGATATGTCAATGGACTTTAGATTGCTGATTGAATGGTAACAATGTAAATGTTTGCATTAGCCAGCATACATAGATTACATTTAATATACAGTGATTAAAAATACAAGCTGTAGCACAAAACAAGCAAAGCTTTAATCAACAGAATTCTTCAATATTGTCAGTTAATATGACCATTATTTTATCATAATGATTCTAACATAAGTCAGTGATGACTGATCTAGCAATGATATCTCTTTTCATCGTACAAATGAACCACACTAAAAACCTCAGTGTAGAAATGTCATAAGGTTGTAGCTGGATATGCAGTCACTACAGTTTTTGTGCTATGTAGGCGTTAGATCCAAGTTACGGTGAGAGGTGAGACTGAAATATGGTTAGAAATTAAATCAAAGCAAGATGTAAGCGATTTAGAAATAGATGGGTGCACATTTCAGTTGTCTTCATTCGTGAATTGTATTTTTACTTGTCTCACTGACCGTGCTACCGGGCAATCGTATTAACATGCAGTACCACAGGAATATGAAAAGCCCTGCAAGCAAAACAAACTATTTTAGGAACTGGTTTCAGTGTTTATATAACATGTTAACATTCGTATGTAGATTTTAGGTCATTAATAATGTCACAAGTTAACTAGGGAGATGCATGCTGGGAAATGTACCTCAATGTTCCACAAGTTATCACAAAATATATCAATGTACATAATCCTAATGGAACCACCAGGATGACAAATTTACCTGACTAACTGCTATTCCACCAGGTTTCGCCTGTAACAAAAAGTAACTATTTTTGTAACACACTTAACTTTAATAAGACCAAGGAAAACTATACCCGTTCAAACCCACCAAACCATGCGCACACAATATAATTAAGATGGACAAAAGACACATGGTTTAAGACGGACACCGTGGATGGAAAAAGAAAAATAGGTAAACAAAATTCTGAAGATTAAAAGTCTACAGTACAAGGTGGAAAATCCTTTTCCTCGTAGCATGTTTGATTTTGTAATGATACTCTGATGTCTGTTTGGTGATGTCATCCTTCAAAACAATAGCTGATCACACGAACTTAGGTCTTCCCTTGTTTGATTTCTTTCCTTTCACTTGTTTTTTTTTCTGTCATTTTCCCACAGAGGGAGAGAGAGCTGGGGGGAGGGAGGGAGAGGAATGGAGATCTGGTCGCTTTCTCTCTGCAGGCTTTGGGTGTTTCTTATCCTTTCTGCTGTTTTTGGTTCAACCAATCAGAGGGCTGTTGTCAGCCAGAATTTGCTTAACTCAAAAGAGTCTCGATGCTGTCCAGTCTCCAATTCTCCCTCCTATTGCTTCCAAAAAGCAACATTGTATTGTACAAGTCAACCATGTGCAACGTTTGGTTTTCACGTTGCAGATCTTTCCTGGCACTCCAGTTATACCAGTCCAACTTCTGTTTCAGTTGATAGTTGCAAAAATGAAAAATATGTGGTCTCTTTAGAATGATTCAAAAGCTTTATGATTACTTTTAAGGTGACCAATGTTAATTTGGTGCCCTATCACCAGGGATTTAATTCCATTAATGGATTTAAATTGGTAGATTAATTTTAGTGTTCACACAGTTATGAGTTATTAATCTCCATACTAAGAATTGTGGCTTAAGGAATATCTCTGTCCTATCCATCAATGACATTCTTTAGTTATCCAGACTGGCCCAGGCTTTGCGAGTTTACAATCTCACAGTGCAGAATCATGACACTTCAACTTCACATCTATCACTACAGAGTTTGAACACTTAACAAGAGGGGAAATGACAGATACAGATTAGTACCAACTATCATATAGAATTGCAATAATGTGTTACTTCACCAACTCAATTAATTGCATTTGCTCTAATTTTTAAATTCTTTAACAGATGCTAGTGCCTGTCAATAAGTGAGAGTTTAGCAAAATCAATTAATGCCTGATATTGTAACTTTATATGTCTAGTCAATACATCCAGTACCAGTAACAATCTGACTGACCTTGGAGAGGGTTCAGGATGCAGAACAGGTACATTGCAGGTTCACTCTGAGGTCCATGTGAGAAGAAAGCTATGCCATAGGTAATGCCCAGTAGATAAGTCAACCCGAGTACAGTGAATACACTCTTTCTATCTCTCCCTTTCAATCTGAACACCTTCACACACGCAATTAGCAGCATGATAGAGTTACCCAGGAACACAAGTGCAAAATACGCAACATTTGTAACGTAATGCACTGCCTTGTTTTTTATCCAACACCTGTTGAGAGGACATAAAAATATTTTAATTACGATCCATAAAAATATCCCAAGAAGAGTTTGTGCAGAAAGAGTTGATGGTGTAACATTCATCCAAATGGGGAAGTGCACATTTCAATTGATCTATCTTTCTGCCACTGAGAGTCAGCAGTGGGGGTAGTTGGGGTCAGCTAGCTCAGTTGGCTGGCTGGATTGTTTACAATGCAAAATGATAATAACAGCATGGGTTCAATTCCCACACTGGCAATGGTTACGATGAAGGACTGTCTTTCCCAGCCTCACCCCTCACATGAAGCACAGTGACCCTAACTCTGTAAACATATTGTTGTAATTCTCTGGGATCTGTTCCAGTTTAATATGCTGTGACACATTGAGGATTACCATTCTGGCCTGCTCCAGCTGAGATGAGAGGCTTTTGCTTGCTGCCCATGATATGGAACTGCAGATCTTTGTTTTTGTCTTTGCATTGGGCTCTCTGAATAATCTGTCCTTTCGATAAGAGTATGGTGTTTTCACATGGCCACAACCTTATTTTTGAAAGCTTCATTATTAGATCACCTTGTTGCTACTGCGAGTAGAAAAGCTGCCAATTTTGCTTTGCTCACCTTTCATTTCAACCAGGGCTGGGAGAGAACATGATAGAACACGGGGTCTTACCCAATGTCTCGGCTGCAGTCAGCTTCTTTGTTCCTTTTCAGGGGTGTTTGGTAAGTCTGAACATTCCTGCATTCCTCTTTTTGTAGCTGTGCCTCTATGCAACCTGTCAACACTTAATTGTAGCTCCACTTCTGTCACCACACTATGACCTCTATAGAATGCACTGCGTTCTGGGCCGTGTGTTTTTTGAACTAGCTGTAAGATGGATGTCAGCAGTGAGAGTGCTCATGCTAGAGGTCACCCAACTATGGCAAGCTTGGAGGAATATTAATACAGTATTGCATTTTTATCCCAAGTAATGGTGTTCCTCACAAGTTAGTATTTTGCCACCTCTTAATATATTCATTACCTAAATCTGTATACAATCTGTCACAGTTTCAAGGTTTGCAGTTGAAATAAACCTCTGAAATTCAGTAAACTGCAAGGAGGAAAGAAACAGGCTTCAGGAATACATAGACAGACTGGTGAAATGGACAGTTATATGGCAGATGAAATTTCTGGAAAGGAATGAGGAGAGGTGATGTAAACATACTGCAATTGTGAAGAGAGTGATTGTAAAGGGACTTTGGGGGTTGAGACTGTCTGTGCACTGCATTTTGCAAATGATAGATCAAATTAAAGAGAATGATAAAAAGATACCTTTTTTAATTGCTAGTAAATAATTCTATTAAGACAACAATGAAGTACAAAAGCAAGGAAATTATTGAAACTTTATATAATGGATTAGGCCCAGTTGTAGTTCTCGGTTCAGCTCTGAGCACCAGACTTCAGGAAGGATATCGCGGCCATGGAGCTGAAGAGATTTTCTTGAATGGTATTGGAGATGAGGGATTGCAGTTACACAGTGAGACTGGAGAGACTTGGGTTGTTTTCCCTGGGCCTGAGAAGCCAATGAGGACATAGGGTAGAGGTGCTGAAGATAGTGTTGATAAATGGTATCAGAGATAGTAGGAACTGCAGATCCTGGAGAATCTAAGATAACAAGGTGTAGAGCTGGATGAACACAGCAGGCCAAACAGCATCAGAGGAGTAGGAAGGCTGACGTTTTGGGCCTAGACCCTTCTTCAGAAATGGGGGAGGGGAAGGGGGTTCTGAAATAAATAGGGAGAGAGGAGGAGGCGGATAAAAGATGGATAGAGGAGAAGATAGGTGGAGACTATCGTTGATAAATGGTAAACTGTTTCTCAAGGCAGAATGGTCAATAAACATTCTAGCTGGCAAAACAACCAAAATCAACAGAAAGAAACGATTTCTTACAGAATGGATTGTTGTGATTTGAAAGGATCTTGGGAACAGACAGTAACTTTGAAAAGAGAATTGGATAAATACCAGAAAGGGACAGTATCCGCACGGCTATGGAGAAAGAGTGGGAAAGTAGGATTAATTGGAAAGCTTTACCAAAAGAGCTGGCACAGGGATGATGAGCCAAATGGCCTTCTCTGTGTTGCATTATTCTATCATTCAGTAACTGATGTACGAAAACTTACATCTCAGTCGGGTTGTGATTCCCATTGACAGGAATTGAATACCGCCCATAATGGTCTGTGCTTATTGCAATGACGATTAAAATTACAGCAGCTGGGAAGCCTGGGAATACATATGAGCAGAGTTACCGAGAGTTACTGGCAGTGAAATTGCTTTGTACCAGCAGATCAAAATGATGTCATAATGAATCAACAGCTGACGTTTCAGTGTGTCTCATCTTTTCCATTGAAATTTACTGAAGAATTATTCAGACTGCTTTTGGAGACCTATTTCCTTGTCTCACTATTGTTTTATTTGGCTTGATGTGAAAAATCTTGGTTATATTCTTCAAATTCACAGAAAACATAAACTGACACAATGTATGGCAAGCTACTGAATTCACTCCAGAGCACTGGCTGAGTAGCTGGTATATACGAATTTCACTCCCCCGTAGATTCCAGTATACTCGCGTGTCAGACAAACAAAGAGGTCGCTGACGTTAAGACTCAGACTTCAGATTTTGCCAGGCTGCTTTGGAGGTGCTGGGCTGGATACTATACATTCAGTAGGGGCTCCTGCCTAGCATGGAGCTGACCCCTGCCTCTGACTGTTTTTCTGCTGAGTAATGTGAGTACAGTCAGACATGAGCTGCCTGGTCTGTTATGGAGAGTGGTGACAGATTGGAAAGTGAAATCTGCTGTCAGAATCCTTCAGTTCCTGCTATGGCAACAAGAAGGTGGCAGCGCTCTGAAGGAAACTTGTGCTGTTATTTAAAGCACTGGGCTGTGTGTGGTCATGCTCGGCTAATAGGACACGAGTCTCTGTGATGACTCTGGGGTACCTCACCCTTGATCTTTCAGCACTGAATTTAGAGTCCTAACAAGCAGCTTTCAATCAGCGAAATAGTTTATTGCTTCAGAAATCTCTCCAATTAATCACAAAAAACACTCTATCTATTAGCACTATTAATTCCACTCTCGCAAGAGGGGATGACCTCTTCTGATCGTTGCTGTCTCAGGGCTACATATCAAGGATGTTTCATGCTGTGTTCATTACCAGCCGGAAGTAAACCTGGACTATCAAAAATCACTTCTATTCTCCGTTTTCTGCTCTGGGTCTGAATCTGTTCACTTCCCACCTTCACCAAGTTTGATCCTTAATCACACTTGAAATTTCACAGAGATTTTTTCCTGTTATTTGACAGAGACAGCAAGAACCCCTAAAGAATAACTATTTTATACTTTAGTTCTTTTTCGTGTAAAATGAAATAAATGTTGTTGCTGCATGAGGCAGTGAGAATTAGACCATGCATTTACAAATAAGTCAGCAACAGACTACTTCACACTCACCCCAACCGAGAAGGCAGAGTTTCAGCATGTAAAAACGAATGTAAGTGTTGAACACCTTGATCAGCATAAGGTACAGGTGAAATGCTTCAATTCCCATCCATGTAAAGCTACAAAGCAGTGAGTAATGCAGCAGGACAGCAATGGCTTTACAGAACTCATCAGAGCTACTGAAACTGACCGCTGTGCTGATTAAGAAGTTCACGTTGAGAAGAAACAAGGCAGCAGAGAGATTCACGTGGATCTGGATGGAAGGTTCTTTTTGTCTTTTTCTGAATGAAGAGAAAAGAAACAGCATTTAGGGGAAAAAAGTGCAAGTGGATAAACATTGACTTCTAAGCTTTGTTTAATTCACTTGCTGTCGTGAATTATTCAGTCATTTGTATATTTTGATTGTACAGTAAGATCATTCAGAATGGCTACTTTGATGATTGATGTTCATACCTGAGAATAAAGTGGATGATTAAAGTAATTACTGTGAAAATGCCAGAAACACCACAACCAATCCAGGTGATATATGTTAGTGATTTCAATATCTTCTCATCCACTGGTGGGTTCCCATCGATTTGCTTTATAAAAGAAAAGGAGAACATTGATATGAGTATTGGGTAATCTCTTGCTTATGTTTCCCCTAGGATCTCTGCTCTTCTCCCAGTGAGAGGCCCCAGTAATACCTGATCTAAGGCCAGGTCTGTCAGAAACCAGCCACCGTGATGTGCACATTCTAAACAATTCTCTTTTCTGTTCTGAGCTGCTTGGCCTCTTCTCAATCCCCAGAACCACATTCTCCATATCAGATACTTAGCATCTGGAGAGTAATGGGGGCTAGCTAATGTCTACTATCCTGTTGCACAGCTACTGATTTAGCTCATTCTGGGAGCGTTGGGCAAAACCGACATTGTTTTCTCATCCTTCCCTCTCATGTTTAACACGAGCCTTGCTGAGGCTCTTCAGATGGTGGTATCAGCCTGGACCAATTCGATGTTAAGCTAGAAGTCTGTCCATACTCTGTACAAGGTCTTGGTCTGGCCACATTTTGATGGCTGTTTTAGGTTTGGTCCCCTCAGATGTTAGGGGAAATCAAGTCCCTGGAAGAGGTTTTGAGGATAGCGATGTTATTATCACCTAATCTGAGGCCTCGTGGATATCTGAGCAAGCTGGGCCTTCTCACTTTGAAAAGGTGTTGGCTTTGAGGAGATAGGATGAGGACTGGGAATTTGCTCAGAGCTACTCCTACTCTATGCCAATAAATGTAATGGGTTGGGGCAGAAATCCCACTGCTGCACATAAAATGGGTTTTCACTGCACTTCCGGAAAAGTTATGGCATCAGAACATGAGTCGATTCAATGAAACTTCCAGTCCTAATGTTGACAATCCTGACAGGACAGGCAGTGAGGACGGTGTTGGGGGATGGGAGATGACATGTGGGAGGGCGGGAATCAGTATGGGTCATAAAGACAGACACTTGGGTTAGATACTCAGAAAGAATTCATTTCGCAAGAGTCATGAACCTCTGGAAGAAATCCCCAGCACACATGGGGAATGTGAGATTTGCTACAACCATTCCAAAGGGAGCTGGATGAGCTTTGGTGAGTGAAAGACATTTTGATCTACCCAAAGTGAGTGGATTAACAGTGGTTGTGCCACCAGTTGTAACTGTCTCATGGACCTATCAGGATCAGAGTGAAATTTACCAAAGCTTCTCCCTCAGATTAAATTTCTCTTGCCTCCCTGTAAAGATTAGATAACGCTGGAGGAAAGGAAGGGGGGAAATGGGTTTGAAGCTGAGTAGCTTGCTGCCTGTTAGTGTGTGACCATCTTAATAAAACATTTGGTCTTTCTTGTCTGTTTTTGTATCTTTATGTGCAATGAAGGGTTATTGTTATCGATCAAAGCTACACTGGAATAGGCCAAAAGATATAAAATATTGCATTACATTGGTCCTACCAGCAAGACAGCAAAGAAGGTCAGGTGATTACATTTACAGATGACTTCATTGACTGTGTTTTCTGTTGTGCAGCCGGAATTGTTCCAGTGACCCTCAACTGTGTTCCCTGTAACAGAAAGTTACATCACTCAGAAGTCAATCCTTGGTTCCAGGGTAATTAAAATATTTGAGAAAATGACCTTCTTTATTACCATTTTGTTCTAACTTCCAGAAGACACATTTTGGAGTGACCTTTACCTAACATGAATAAAAAATTATCAATAAATCTTTACCACCCTTCGTGTAAATATTTTCTTTTAATCAACTGAATAATGAAAAGTGAAAAATGTCCTTACCGGTGATGATTTGTTAAACACAATTATCACAGGGTCTGTCAGATTATCAAACGTACTGTGCCCCATTTGAATTCCAACCACATTATTTAAAATAGTTTGATTTTTAACCTGCAAAGATATACATATAGATTGTACCAGAATTTCTTGTTAAAAGCAAAGGAAGAAACAGAATGGATGGCAGCCCAATTTCTGGGTGAAAATAGATTCCATTAGCTATAGTCGAATGTACAAAGTGTGGGTGCGATATTGTAAGACAAAGCAGTATTGATTGGGAAGTTTACTTGAAAGTAAACAGGAACATTGATGCCTTTCCATCCATTTTGGTGTCATCTGCAAACTTGGCAATTGACATTCATTTTCCTTATCCACATCATTGTTATACTGTAAATAATTGTGGCCCAAACACTGATCCTTGTGGCCACTCCACTAGTTACAGGTTGAAGTCCTGAACATATCTGCTTTTGTGCCAACTCTGTCTTCTATTATTTAACCAATTTTCTATCCATGCTGATATGCTACCTCCAACACCATGAGCTTTTGTCTTATAAACTAGCCTTATGGACAGTACCTTATCAAACTCCCAACTGCAGGAACACGAAGGGATGGTAGGTGCTTGAAATGATACACTCGATTATTTTTTGGTTGAATACAGCTATTGTGCAGCAGTGGGACAATTTTTTTTACACGGCAGGTTGCTATGTAAATGCAATCTGTTATTGTTGCAATGACTGAACCTGATGGAAACTTGAAGCTGTCACTCCCTGTCGTCCATTGGAAAGGTAGTTGCTTTCTAATCAACCTGTTTAGAGATATTATTACACCGCTCTGGAGCAGGTTGGATTTGAATTTGGGCCTCCTGGCTCAGAGGTAGGGATGTTACCACTGTACCACAAGGTGATATATGTGTTTACTGTCACACAAATTGTACCAGGTACACGTTCTGTGGTGTGGTGCACTGCAAAATGACGAATATTACTGGCTCTCTGAAATAGCCTGAAGCACAAATGTTTGACAATTATGATTTTGTTACAAAGGGGGAGGTTGAATCCCTCTGATAATTAAACCAAAACCCAAGCCCCCAATCTCTTATGGCAGGAATAGAGGTTCCCTTCTAATGATTAAACCCAAAACACCCAGAGAAGCTCACCTTGCCTTTATAATCTGTTAAAAAGAGTGGTTAAATAAAAGAAAATCCCTGATATTCACTTTATAAGTAACGGGTAACAATTTATTTATTTAACACTAACAGTGAACAAAGTAGCAGAAATACTACCAAACCAAACAATTCCCCCTTAACTATTTACTATTCCCTTACTGAACTAAATTCTACTGGTATGCTGTTCCAATAAACGTATGCCCACTTATATAAACCTAAGTAATAAGAAAATAAATTAAAAGTTAGTCTCTCAAAGTCTACATGCCTTTCTTCTGCTCTTCTCAAGTCATAAACGCCTTTCTTCCACTCATCCAGTTGTCAGGGATGTCTTCTCTGTGAAATATTCTGTGAAAACTCTAAGCTAGAAGTGCCATGGTACCTTTTATGGATAGACAGCACTTCCTTAGAGAACTTAGCGATTTCTTGTGAGAGCTAGATACTTATTTTTCAGATGGTGTTTCTCTCTCACACCAATTTTCGAAAACCTTCTCCTTATATACCTTGGGTGACAATGTCCATTTTCTTACAATAGCATTGGTCCAAGGTTGTCAAAATCATCAGGTTTAAATTCAATTGGCTTTCAATCATTAAGTGCTTGGTTTAAATTAATTGGCTGATTCCAGCAAGTTGCCAAAACATCAAAGCAAGCCTAAGGTTTCCAATCACACAGCCAATCGACACGTTTCAATTTCAGAATTGGCTGTACATCTTCAACTACATACAGACACATCCTTTTTCTGTATAAATCTCTAAGCTTAGAAAAGCACTTTACCTCTTAAAGGAACCGTACGCTCTTCTCCCTTATCATTTTTACAAACGAGTTCTAGCTTTGTGCCTTCCAATTCACGACTTACTGTACACAACTTTGTAACAACTTTAAGCAAAGATTATCATTTTATTCCGTTTCCTCCCCCACCCTGCTATTTTTTGCTCATGTTAATCAGTACAACTGTGGAAGTCTTAGCACTAAAGATGATGTACGAGCCTAAAACACAAATAAATATATGGTCAATGCATCAATTCAGCACAGCAAAAGTTCAATAACTATTCAAATAATTCACGAAAATAACTGAAACTATCTCCACAGATAAAATACTCTATGAGTAAAATGCAGCAAGTGAAATAATAATTGATATTTTTACCAGTACTGTTCCATTATCTTATTACCTTTTGATAAAATCCAACAGCTCATTATACCCTTAGAAAAGTAAAGTTACCTGGAACAGTCTTGCATCCCTGAATAATAATATTCTAATTTGTACTGTGTTCGTTGCAATGTTGACGCCATCCAGGAGAGTTGGTGGCAGACTGATTCTAGTTGCTGGGTCAAAGGCAGAGATATTCTCCTGGGTTTTACATTCAATAAAAATAATAAATTTGGTTAACTGACAAGAATCTTTAATGACATTTCCCTCTTCCTTGCAGGAGTAACATGCTGAAGCAGTTTCAACACTTTGGCCTTAAGTCCCACTCTAGGACTTGAGAATAAAAATTAAGGCTGACACACCAGTGCAGTACTGAGGGGGTCTGCATTGTTGGAGGGGCTGACTTTCAGATAGGATATTAAACTAATAGGATATTCTACCAGCCTGGTTATATACCAGGATCTTATTGCAATATTTTGATGAAGACCACGGGAGTTATCCTTCCATCAACAACTGAAGAAAAGGTAATCTGGTCATTGTCACATTGCTGTTTGTAGGAGGTTGCTGTGCATCCATTCACTGTCCAGTTTTCTACAACAGTGTCTCCACTCCAGAAAGTACTTCATTGGCTGCAAAATGGTTTGTGACATCCAGTGGTAGTGAAAAGTGCCAAATAAATCCAATTTCCTTCTCTCCTTTAAAAAAACACTGTTCACTTTTACTGGAAATTCTAACAGTTGCTGTGAGTGGTCTTTATCAGCACTCATAGTATCTCCCACAGCATAATATGGTAACAGGGGCCTGGGGCCAGCATGGCCATTGGGGAAATGAGAGTGGAACCAGAAAATAGAAGCCAATTCTCAACATCACTGCGTATACACATGTGTGTATGTATAAACATGTTTAAACATAGGTATGCATGACATTGTGTGTATATGCTGTAAGCATGTGTTTGTGTGTGTGCTTGTGACTTGTGTGGGTATATGTACATATATATGTGTAAGTGTGTATATGTCTATGTGCATGAGATTTTATGTAAGTCTGTGTGTTTATGTGTATATCAGCGCATATGTGTGCATGTGATTGTGTATATATGTGAATGTATGTGCTTGCGGGTGTTTATGTGCACATGATTGTGTGTATATACAATGGGGTGTATGTGCATGTATGTATGTTTGTGTATATTGGTATGTGTGCATGTATTTGTGTGCATGCATGTATTATGTGCACACGTGTGTGTTTATGTGTTTGTGTCTGTGTGTTGTGTGTACTTCTGTTGTGGATGTTGTGTTTTTATGTGTTGTACATGTCTGGTGTGTGCATTGTGTGTGTGGTATGTTGTGTGTTTTGTGTACGATAAGGGTGTTTGATATGTATGTTGTGTTGTGTGTGTGGTGAGTTGTATATTTAATGTGTTTGTATTGCATGCGCGTGTGTGTGCGTGTATGAGATGTCTTGTTTTCCGTATGTGTTTGACTTTTTGCTTGTGTGTATATGTTCGTGCTTCTGTGTGTATGTTTATGCTGTGTATGTTGTGTTTGTGTGCATGTTTATGTATGGGTATGCATGTATGTATATTGTTATGTTTTTGTGTGTATGTGTATATGTGCATGTGATCAAGTCTTTGTGTAAGTGTATATGTGCATGTGATGGAGCCTGTGTGTTTGTACGTATGGTTGTGTTGTATATAGTGTGTATTCGTGTGCATATATGTACATTTGACTTTGTGCTTGTGTGTATATGTTCGTGCTTCTGTGCATATGCATGTATGTATATTGGTATATTTTTGTGTGTATGTGTATATGTGCATGTGATGGAGCCTGTGTGTATATATCTGTCTGTCTGTGCTTTTGTTTGTAAACATATATTTAGTGGATGTATTTTTGTTGTTTCATAGAATTTCATTTCATAGAACCCCTACAGTGTGGAAACAGGCCCTTTGGCCCAATAAGTCCACACTGACCCTCAGAACATCCCACCCAGACCCATTCCCCTGAACACTACAGGCAATTTAGCATGGCCAATCCACCTAACCTCCACATCTATGGACTGTCGGAGGAAACCGGAGTACCTGGAGGAAACTCACGCAGACACAGGGAGAATGTGCAAACTCCACACAGACAGTCACCCAAGGGTGGAATTGAACCCGGGTCCCTGGTGCTGTGAGGCAGCAGTGCTAACCACTGAGCCACCCTAAAGATTAGTTTGGAAGTGTGAAGAAATTGCAAATTGTACTTGAGCCAGGCAAGACTTGAACCTATGATCTTCTGATCCGTGGTCAAGTGCATTATCCATTGTGCTACTGGCTCCATACGTATGTTGTGTTTGTGTAATGTGTCTGTATGTGTGTAGAGGGTGTACTGTGTTGTGTGTGCGCGTGTGTGTTTGTAGAAACATAGAAAATAGGAGCAGGAGTAGACTATTCAGTCTTTCGAGCCAGCTCTGCTATTCAGTATGACCATGGCTGATCATCCAACTCAGTACCCTGTTTCTGCTTTCTTCATATAAGCTTTGATCCCTTCAGCCCTAGGAACTATATCTAACTCCTTCATGAAATCATTCACTGTTTTGGCCTTAACCACTTTCTGTGGTAGTGAATTCCACAGGCTCACCACCCTCTGGGTGAAGACATTTCTCCTCATTTTAGTCCTAACTGGCTTATCCCATATCCTTAGACTGTGACCCCTGGTTCTGGACACCGTCATCATGAGGAACGTCCTTGCTGTGTTTATCTTGTCTAGTCCTGTTAGTTTTCAATGAGGTCCCCCTCATTCTTATTGTGTACGTTATGTGTGTGCACATTTCAATACAGCCACTCATCCTGCCAGCAGAACTCTAACCGGAACAAAAGAAAATTTCAAACACACTTACCATATCTGAACTAGGGAAATGTAGACCTGTGAAATTTTCAGCATCTATATGTTGAATATAATATATTACATTCTCTGTTTCAACAACTTGTCTTTCCCCTTTACAATCTACATATCGTAGTTGATTTTCCAAAACTGAGATGACTGAAGGCCTGCAAAACGTTGGCAAAGGAAGAATATTATTGCACTGGCAGTAATAGAGGACTGTAACACTGTAACAGTGGGCTCGTGATAACTTGCTGCATCAGAATGAATAGTTTTACAGGGTGCATTGTTCTGAGGCCCACACTGCACTCAAGCTGCCTGTCTGGGTGAAGGAGGTGAAGGAGAGATGCCTGAAGCCTGTGGTGAGGCTGTACAGCCAGCTCATTGGGATCTTTGTCTTCTGTGCAAATACAGCACTTCCCCAAGCTGTAACTAGACCAGTTTGGTCATTTGGAACGGGTCTAAATGTGAGGCTGCATTCCTGATTACAATAAATTCTTGCACTTTGCTCCTGTTAGCACCCTGGGATCTGCCCAGTGCCTTGAGCACTGCTCTAGGCCAAAGAATTCCCTGGTTTTGCTCAACGTCAGCCAGACGATGCTCAATGATTGTGTTCCCTGTATGACATGCATCAGTCACATGAAAAAACACAATGATGCCAATCAATTGGCCAGGAGATATCTGGTGGGGTTAGTACAGTTTGTGCAGAGGCACTGAGTGACTTTATCAGACCCATCAGGCATATTCAGTCATTAGCTATAACAAAAAGCTGTAAAAGTGATGGAATGTATCATTCTGAGGCCCAGAGTAGGGAAAGGATAGCTCCCAGGAGGCTCATTTATTTAACAAGATGCAAGATTTTTACAAATTGCAGTGGCAATATTCTAGGGGAAGGGAGGAACAGAAGCTTCACGAAATGCAGGATGACACTGCACCAAGTAAGAAGACACCGCATACTCGCTGCATTTGGCAGGATTGCAGATAATGGTGTTTATCACCAATGTCATTCAGGAAAGGGACTAAATTACCTTCATATATAGAAATCTATAAATATCATTGTTAAATCTTTTATAAAATTGTATGTTTGAGATGATTGAGATAATGTCTACCTGATTAATTCCACAAAAGCACACCATTACAGCAGGTTTATTCATAATCAGTTATAAAATAGAGAGGCTGAGAAAGATATCCAGGGCATTAGAGGTGGTGGAGCAGAAGACTTTGTAACCAAGAAAAGTGGGTGGTTAGGGAGGGTGACAATTTCAGAATAACAGGTTAGCCTGTTAAGACTGAGGAGGAAGCTCTTCACTCAAATGGCTGTTAGTTTTGGATTTGTTTCTCCAACAAGCTGGGTATGCTCAATTATTGGGAATATTTGCGATAGAGTTGGATAGATGCTGAAGGATATGAGGTGAGTGAAAGAAGGTGGAGTTGAGGAAAAAGATCTGTTTTGATAGGACTGATCAGTGGAGCAGATTTAAACAGCCAACTCTTACTCCTATCTCTTATACAATACAGGAACATAGAAACAGTTCTGAGGAAGGGTCACCAGACCGGAAACGTGAACTCTGTTTTTCCCTTCACAGATGCTGCCAGACTTGCTGAGCTTTTCCAGCAACTTTGGTTTTTGTTCCTGATTTACAGCATCCGCCGTTCTTTCGGTTTTTACATAGAAACATTAACCCCTTCATGGCCAATCTCCACTTCAAATCCATACCTCCACCTTTAACAAACAGACATCTCAGTCCCAAATGGATAATCTCTCCCAAGCTTGACCACATCGAACTTCCTTGGTCAGTTTTGTTCAACAATTAATCTGCCTCTGTCTCTTTGTAACTTTATGCTATCTTCTGTCCATTCTCATTTAGTGTCATCTGCAATCTTAGTTATATTGTTCTCTGTTACCTACTAAAGCAAAATATTGCAGTTTCTGGAAATCTGGAATCAAAACACAAACAGTTGGAAAGACTAGCAGGCCGGGCAGTATCTGTGAAGAGAAATGGTAAATATTCTGAATTTTACCAGAAATTTAGTTAAATACCAGTTTCTGTCTGGAAGAACTTGTTCACACTATTTTCTACAATGCACCAAATAGTACCTATCCACCACATCTCTATGGCATCTACTTTGTCCTATCTCCTCTCTCACTATAGGTGGCAGTAGGGATCCACTGCAGGGACCTCAGGGTTCCCAGTGCCAGTGCTATATTTAAAACACAGCAGACACGGGGTCAAGGGCAGTCAGTCTGGAGCCGTCCTGCATGGTGAATTGCTCCAGAGATGGTGGACAGAGGCAGGTTAGCTCTATCCTTTGTGGACAAGGACCTGGAGGATGAGCAACTTTGCACATCAAGATCTCCAATCCTGTCAAACTTCTTGACCTGTGTTGTAGATGTTACTAAAGTGCATAACTCACTGAGAAAGGCAATTTGGCACTTGAAAATCTCCATTTCTAGCCATGTTCATAAAATCTGCTGTAGATGTGACTAAAGTGCATACCTGGGTGAGATAAGCAAGTTTGAAAAGCAAAATCACCATTTCCAGTAAACTTCTCCAAAATGCTGGCACGTTCTTAAGATATGCAATAGGCCCTTTTGTATCATCGACAACAGATTTTAAGAATATGCCAGCATTTTGGATAAGTTTTTTGGAAATGGTGATTTTGGTGCTCAAACTTTCTTATCTCACCCAGGTATGCACATTAGTCATATGTACAACAGATTTTAACAACTTTGCTAGAAATGACGTTTTTGATGTGCCAAGTTGCTTATGTCACTGAACTATGCACTTTAGTACTATCTGCGACACATTTTCTGAACATGCATTTGAGAAGTTTGCTTGAAATGATAATTGTAGTGTGCAAACCTGCTTATCTCACCGAGATATGCACTTTAGTAACACCTGCAACAGAGTTTAAGAACATTGCTAGAAATGGAGATTTTGGTGAGCCAAATTTCTTATCTCAGTGAGATATGTATTTTTAATAACAACTACAAGAGATTTTAAAAAGGTGCAAGTATTTTGGAAAAGTTTGTTGGAAGTGGTGATTTTGGTTTTCAAACTTGCTTATCTCAGTGAGATATTCACTTTATCAGCATTTCCAACAGATTTTAACAATGTGTCAGCATTTTGGAGGGAGGATGAGCTGGTGCAGAGGACTATTGCTATCTTCCCTCAGGACTGGCAGTGGAGCCATGGCATCAGATGCTGTCAACATGGTCCAAATTCACTAGCACCATCTGTGTCATGTCGTCAGTCCAGAGGACAAGCCAGCTCCACTCCCCCAGGGTGAATACTATTGTTTTCTCTCTGCTGTCTCACACTCATTCTATCTCTGCTACTGTACCCACTTCCCACTTGTACCATCACTAAAAGCTGTGCCAGTCTCTTTTAGCTCATTCGGTATCTCCCTTCGTCTCATTCCTGGAGCACATGTCCCACAGAAAGGCTGAATGAGGCAAAAACCAAAGTTGCTGGAAAAGCTCAGCAGGTCTGGCAGCACCTGTGAAGGAAAAACAGAGTTAACGTTTCAGGTCTGGTGACCCTTCCTCAGAACTGATGGTGGCTGGGAAAACGTGAGTTTATATTCAGAAAATAGGGAGGTGGGTGGGGTAGGGAGTAAACGATAGGATAGAGCCCAAAGAGAGAGAAAGACAGTTGCTAACGATCAGGCTGGGAAGGTGAATAGTTGTTAATGGGGACTGTTAGTGACTAACAACAGGGGGTGTGTAGTGGCAGGCTATGTGGTAAAAAGGCCTGGTGTGTGGGGTGGGGGGCTGGGACATGGGAGAGTTTAGGCCCGAAAATTATTGAACCCAATATTGAGTCCGGAGGGCTGTAGGGAGGCAAGTTGGGTGATGGTGTTCTCAACATTTCTCTCCTCCCCTCTACAAGGAGAGGTTCCTTGTCTGAGCCAGGGGGGACCGTGAACGTCATGTGGTGATGCCGAAAGCTCTGTGTCTCAACAACCAAGTAAGAATCACAGCCCATGGCAGTGCTGCTCTCCCACTACCATCACCGGGAACGTACTCCTGACTTGCAGCTTCTACCCTTTGGTCAGGTGGCCAGCAGCAGAAAGACTACTAGGCTGTTTAAGAGCTACAATCAAGCATGCTGGGAATTTTGGTCCAGCTAGTTTAAAACTGCAGCCAGGACCTGTTGTGACCTGCAGTTTCCTGGGCTGATCAAGTAAAGCAAGTATCATGGTGGCCTTTAGACATATGGGCACCATTATTATCTTATATGGAGTATGGAATGTCACTGCTTACAACATTTGGGAGTTGTTTATCTGTAAACTCCATTGGTTGGGATCGAACAATGTGATCAGGCTTTGATCAATTCATTGGCTGAGTGCCAGAGATCTTTCTGGAAAGGGGCACATTTTCAGATAAATTAACAGAATAAAGAAATTTTCTCAGAAGAAGCCTTTCAGACCACATTTGAGAACATGTGCCCTGAGGTAATTTTCAGAGATGTCATGAGGCGAGATAACGAACCATGGGGTGGGATCTACATGGAGAACAAAGTTGGCCACTTCACTCAAATTGGGATTGTATGTAATTTAAGCCATAGTTGTAGAATTAATGTAAGAGTTAGGGTTAAATTTGAATTAAGTAAAGTAAGGTAACGTGAATTTAAATGAAGTGACTTAAAGCTGAAGTTGTTAGATGAAATAAGAATTAAATGTTGCAAAGAATGTATGTTTTATATTGAGTATTGGTTCTTAAGGAGCTATAATAAAGAAGGGTTTGTTTAATTAAATTCTGAGTCTGTTCCCTTCCTTTTATCTGTCACATAAGGAAAGAATACCTGGGTTAAAAGGTTTGATACTCCTTTTCAGGCAACAACCCCAATTGGAACTGAGACTCTCTTTTGCCTCCTGCAGGCACCAGTGGCACCTGTAGAGTCTCTGCCATCAAGAGGGCAGCCCCACAGGGCATCTCCTCCTCCATCTCTGAGGAAGGAGCCACAGATCCCTCAGAGGAAGCACCGGCAAGACCACCTCCCTCACTCTCTGCCAGCTCAGAGACTGCCACCTGGACAGCTATTTTAGTGACTTTAGAGTGGGCAGCACATCACTGTCTCAACTGGCTGAGCATTGGGCACGGGCACTTGGGTGATTGGCAGGGAGCAGGCACCTGTTCAGCCCCAGGCAGGAGCCCGAATTGTTGGCCATTCATACAGATACACAAGCAGAGCGAGCAGCAGTCATGGGTGTTAGAGAATCAAGCAAATTGGCTCAGAAGGTTGGAGGACTCCACCAACCCTGTTTACATCCTCGTACGCTGGTACACGTGTGGCTAGTTGGCGGCTGCCATGGAAAGCCAGGTTTGGCACACACTGTTAGACACGCATGCTATCATGTTTGGTGTTGGACACCAACTGCAAGGTAAAGGGTTGGTGCAGGGGGTGGCAAGGGACCTTATCCAGGTACCATTTCGACACAAGGAGACAGGGTGCTGCCCCAGCTGGAAGAGGGACAACATACAAATGCCCCGTAAGTCTCTTCTCAGGGCAATTTAAAAGTGGCTGGGGCTTTCACACTATTCTCCACTGGTCTGCAGTTGTAGCTCTGAAGAAGAGTCATAATGCACTCGAAACGCTAGCTCGGTTTCTCTCTTCACAGATGCTGTCAGATGTGCTGAGTTTCTCCAGCATTGACTGTGTATACTTCAGAAAATTAATCTGATCTGGCAGGGAGAAGATATCCTGTGAAAGCCAGGAGTAACTTGACACTTTAAAATTAAGATTATATTTCTACTGTAGGTGTGGTGAATTTACTTCAACCAGCACAAACATTATTTGAGGCACATTCACACTTAAAGGGAAAATAATTACAGACGAGTGCCCAGTGCAACTGTGCTCTGTAGGGGATATATGTTCCTTTTTCTCTTTTATGGAGTTTAAAGTGCAGTTCTTTATCAATAAGCTTACATATTCTTTCATTTACATTCTTTAATTATCCTGCAACCCTATCAAACCATTAGGCAAGAGACAGAGTGGTTTAAACACTAGACGTGCTGGTTTCACAACTGCCAATGGTTCGCTGTATGGTAGTTACATTCCAGGAATAAATATCATTTTCAACATTTCCCTGAGGAGTGCTGGGCTCTGAACATGCAATTAAACTGAATGGAGGTATGTGACTTTAATGACCATTTCAGGAATTCAATACAAATACTTGTCAGTTTAAGATTTTACATCAAGGAAGAAATGTCTTTACTTTTTACATTATTTTAAAAATTAGCTGTTGAAAAATAAGGAATACAAACCTTATTTGTTCTGAAAAACTGGAAAGCTATTTGACTGTATAACATTAGAGGGAGGTCAGGTGGTTCCCAGCTCAGCAAAAGGCTGGGAATGAGGGGAAGGTCAGAAAAACATCAGGCTTATTTGCCTAATGGAGAACTTTTAAAAATGTTCATAACTTCCACATATATTTGAAATTCATTGTGTTTTGTATTTCTATAAGAATGATTATTTACATCTCATGAGTTTGGTTGATGCATCTCCGTATGAATTTGTTCACTAGTTCAACTGCACGCGTGCATTGTTTACTTTCACTCAGCCATTGCTGCCAAGAATCACAATTCTGATTCGGACCTGAGTGGAGAAGGAGAGGATAGAATGATCAGGTCAATACAAATCAGCTCGAATCCTTTGAAATCCTTCCTGGAAAGCACCCACAATATGGTCAAGGAGTAAATTAGCTTTGTTTTATTTTAGGAGTGGAATCTCTTTCTCGGCTCTTTAATTAACTGGTTAATGACTCTGAGAGAAATTTCCAGTTTTGAATCAAATGTCTCAGTGAAAACTTCAATTAAATATAAGCAGAGGAGTGTCAAACTGATGCATCAACCAGCTTGTTATAAATAATTTAATAATAATCCCATCATGTTGCTATTCTCTTACAATGATTCAAGCTTAGCAAATATTCAAAAATATTGGAATAATCATTTACTAGGTCCACTTGTATTAACAAGAATTGAGCATGATTAAAACAGAGTCAGGATTGATGAGATTTTTGTAGGTTGGGAAGATGTAACTAATGGAGTGCCACAAGGGTCAGTCCTAGGGCCTCAGTAATTTACTCTTTATGTTAATGACTTGGAGAAGGGGCAGAGTGAAATGTGTCCATTTTGCTGAAGATACAAAAGTGGATGGGAGGCATGTTACAATGGGGACATAAGGAACCGGCAAGGGCTTATAGATAGTTTGAGTAAATGGACAAAAATCTTGACAGATGGAGTTTACTGCAGGGAACTGTGCGGTCAAGCACTTTGGTGGGATGAATCAAAAGGCAGATTATTATTTAAATGGAGAGAGATTCCAAAGAATGCACTGAAAAGGGATAAGGGTGTTCTTGTGTATGAAACACAAAAGACCAGTATGCAGAAAGTAATTAAGAAGGCAAATGGAATTTTGGTCTTTGTTGCTAGCAGATGGTGTTTAAAAATAAATTGATTTGTCAATAACAGCTAAACAGGTTTGGAATTTATTCCTCAGAGTTTAGAAGAAGGAGGACGATCTTATTGAAACATATAAGATGCTGAGGGGGCTCAACAGTGTTGATGTTAAGAAGATGTTTTCATGAGTGAGGGAATCTCAAACAAGGGGGCATAATTAGAGAATAAGTGGACACTCATTTAAAACTGAAATTCTCACAGAGGGTAGTGAATGTCTGAAATTCTCTACACCAGAAGACTTGTGGAGACTAGATCACTGGAAATATTTAGGAAAAGGCGTTAAATAAAGTTTAGAAATATCAAGGAGTTAATGGCTATGATGAGCTGACATTCAAGAGGAGATAGGCATGGGTCAGATCATGACCTTGTTGAATAGTAGGATAGGCTTACTTCTGCTCCCATGTCATACGTTCTTATGTTCACAGTGTACAACGTTAACTGTGAATCTGTCATTGAACAAGTTTTGCTAAATAATTCTGTGTGCTAAAAATTATGCTGACAACCAACTTAAGATTGTCAGTCAGGCTCACACTGTAGCAAACATGCGCATACTGGAAGCTAGATACACAGGATCCTGGTTCTTGCAGGCAGAAAAGAAAACCTGCACACATTGTGTCTATTTCAACTCAGCAAAGTAGATAATAACCATTGTCTGGTTTAATTCTCAGGGCACTGCCTGGACCAATCAGATTCAACCTGCCTGGTTTAATTTTAAACAAAGCTTGGATTCCCCGGTCCCCAACACCTCATCTTTACCATGGACGTCCAGTCCCTCTACACCTGCATTCCCCATGCAGATGGCCTTAAGGCCCTCCGCTTCTTCCTGTCCCGCATGTCCGACCAGTCCCCCTCCACTGACACCCTCATCCGCTTAGCCGAACTCGTCCTCACCCTCAACAACTTCTCTTTCAATTCCTCCCACTTCCTACAGACAAAGGG